GGCCGCGGCGGCGCGGTCGGGAGGCTGCGGCGGCGGCAGCGCGGTCGGGAGGCGGCATTCGCTCCATAAAACGCACAGACATTTTCCCCCATCTTTTGGGGGGGGGAAGTGCGTCTTATAGAGCGAAAAATACGGTAGTCAGTTGCTGAAAACAATTCCTTGAAAAGAACGGCATCAAATGCACGGTGGCTGCGTTCCTCAGAGATTGTTATGATTCCTTTTTAATATTTAGTTTTTCTGTGATTTGCAGCTGGAGGGGGGTCTTCCTGCAGCCCTGTTTTTTCCAGAAAACAAAAAGGTGATTATATCTGTGAAATCTCTTACGTTTTCTACCTCTTTTCGTTCCTTTGACTGGGAAAACTTTTATTTCTTTGGCTCTTGGTCCTTCCTTCTTTTCTTACTTTCGCCATCTATCGTTGCTGTCCTTTAAAAGAATCGTAGTTAACGTTTCATTCCTTGCTTTTCGCTGCGGCTAACATTATGTAAGCTATCATCATGAACTCGGGCAGAAAAATCTACCGACGTGGTTGCAAAGAGTCAATAATGACTTGACGGCACCTAATCAATCATAATGAGTTGATTTGGCTAAATGTCTGAAGCGGTTTGAGTACTCTTTTTAATACAATAACTTTGTTTAGACAAAGTACTATTGTTTTGGTTTTTTTTTTTAAAAAAAACCTGCTTTTAAGTTAATTGCATGTGCTTTGATTTGAATTTTTTTTTGTGGCATTTCCCTAATGCACCGTTGTATCGGTTCAATCAGATCTTTGACTTAAGTCTATAAATAGGTAGATGGGTAGGCAGAGATACAGACAGAGATGTAGATATATATAAAAAACAGGCAGACCCTTGGTATGTATAAAACATTCAAAATGTTGGTTTTGAACTGTGTTCGTGTGCTTTCTACTCTTAGTTCCACATTTTTAACTTAGATCAGGGGTCTTCAAACTTGGCCCTTTGAGGACTTGTGGACTTCAACTCCCAGAATTCCTCAGCCAGGCACGCGTGCCTGGCTGAGGAATTCTGAGAGTTGAAGTCCACAAGTCCTCAAAGAGCCAAGTTTGAAGACCCCTAGCTTAGACCCTTGCATGTGATTCTTATTGATTATTGCCAAGAGAGAATTTTCATGCACCTTTGACCCATCATGCCAGCATTTCCTTGATGAGGTAGACTCAGCCTTAGAAGCCCCCAGCCCATATTTTCCTGGTGAGGGGGGAAAGGGCCATAGGGTCTGCCGCCTAATCTCCTGAACGTGGCCTAGGCTTCGTTCCTTGACCAGATCCAGGCCAGGAAGTTGCCTGATAGAATCCAGATGGAATAAAATAGAATAGGAGCTGGAAGGGACCTGGGAGGTCTTCTAGTCCAGCCCCCTGCTCAAGCAGGAGACCCTAGACCATTTCAGACCTGTCCAGTCTCTTCTTAAAAGCCTCCAGTGATGAAGCACCCACAACTTCTGAAGGCAATTTCTGTTCCACTGGTTAATTGTCCTCAGCACGCTGGCTGGGGGATTCTGGGAGTTGAAGTCCACGAGTCATCAAAGGGCCAGGTTTGAAGACCCCTGTTGTATATATAGTATGTTTTAAATGTGTGTTATGTATGTGTACACCTTTGAGACGAAGCAACTCAATTTCATTTTTAAGGTGTGCCGTTGTGCCCACAGGAAAAAAATGACAATAAATCTAGAGCAGTCTTTAAATCTGGCTGGATAATTTTGAGGCCGGGCACGTCCTCTAGGCCTCCTCAACAAGGTTGACGTGAACTGGATAGAGAATCAGATAGATGCAGCTCCTAGAGCAGGGGTAGGCAACCTTGGCTCTTTTATGACTGGTGGACTTCAACTCCCAGAATTCCTGAGCCAGCATGGCTCAGCTTGGGAACCTCTCCCTTTCCCCTCAGCATGGCTGGCTCAGGAATTCTGGGAGTTGAAGTCCACGAGTCATAAAACAGCCAAGGTTGCCTACCCCTGGCCTAGAGGAAACGGCAGGCAAAAACGTGTAACCAAAAAAGAACAACTTTGCAAAAAAGACAATCAAATTGTTGTATGCGGTGTAGGATAAATTGCCAGAAATCTGAGATATATATATATTTTCTTGCGTTAATTTATCAGCTAAAGTCCTTTCAGGAGAAGAAGAAGGTCTGGAAGAAGACTCTGAAGCCAGATCTGAAACCAGCCAGATGGGCTTTGCAGGTAAGTTGGCCTCTCATTCTTGTGAGAATTACTGAAATCGATCCGCTATTATTTTTCTTTACTCGTGAATTTACTGCCTTCTAAAAAAAAGGGGGGGGGGTTGCATGTATTACGTAATAACATCTTTTGAGTTGAGCGGGATATAATGAACCTCTCACTTGCGGAATTGTGGAAAACTGCACCAGGGGTTCCATGCCATGTTTTTGTATGGAAAAGCTCGGTAGCCCCCTTTAGACTTTCACAATAAACCATGACTTAGCCATTGTGTTGAAATTTTTTTTTATATAACTCCAGATGCGACGCAAGACCAAATGCAGCAGTTTTCAATTTTTGAAAAGATAGAATATAGAATAGAATTAGAATTAGAAGAGAGAAATGAAGAAATAATTAAGAATAGAATAGAATAGAATAGAATAGAATAGAATAGAATAGAATAGAATAGAATAGAATAGAATAGAATAGAATAGAATAGAATAGAACAGAATAGAATAGAAGGAATGCAGAATAGAATAGAATAGAAGGAATGCAGAATAGAATAGAATAGAAGGAATGCAGAATAGAATAGAATAGAAGGAATGCAGAATAGAATAGAATAGAATAGAATAGAAGGAATGCCGAAGAGAAGAGAAGAGAAGGAATGCAGAATAGAATAGAATAGAATAGAATAGAATAGAATAGAATAGAATAGAATAGAATAGAATAGAAAGAATAGACTGCCCTCTGTCAGATACGGTGTAGGGTCTCCTGCTTGGGCAAGGCATTGGACTAGATGACCTAGAAAGTCCCTTCCGACTCTGTTCTAATTCAGGGTTTGGCTCTTTGTGTCGGCAAGCGGGAACTTCAGATCCCGCCTCATCTTCCTGCAACCAACGTCTTTAGTAAAAATCCTTTTCTCTTCAATCCGTCAAGAGTCTACTTTCCTAAATGACTGTTTTGGGGCGGGTGTGACATTATGCTAATTTCTCTCTCTCTCTCTCTCTCTCTCTGTGTGTGTGTGTGTGTGTGTGTGTGTTAATTTTGACTTTTCTTTATTACAAAGGCTTCGAGTAAGGGATCTTTTGTGGAAAGAGAAGATAAGAATTCCATAAAACTGCTGCAATAATTACCGACATGACGATAACGTTTCGTTCGGTCGCTAAAGGTGCAGTATGGCATCCCGGAACCCTCACATGGTTTCTTTTCCCCTTTTAGGGTCTGTGAAAAGCGAGCTCAGCAGTGAATTGGCTCCCACCTCGGGCCTGGCGACAGCGGCCGGCTTGGCCTCCGATCCTCCGGCTTGCGACATCATCACGGAACAGCCCCGTTCTCAGCACGTCCTGCAGTCCGAGTCGGAGCTCCCCGCATGCGATCCGACAGGCGCGGCCCCGAGAGCTGATGCCGACGACGAGATCCTGAGCCGGAGTTCCAGCCAGATCAGCGCCATCCAGTCGGACGTGAACGACGGCACCTCGTCGCCCATCAGCGACAGCTCCCAGACCACCACCGAAGGGCCGGACTCGGCGGTGACCCCCTCCGATTTCTCCGAAATGGTAAGAGCGGTTCCTAATGAGTTGCGTGAAGTGGAAACACATGTTAATCTTTTTTCCCCCTTCTTCTACCCCCTCTTTTTAACACTAGTGGGTTTGTCTGTGGAGGTTCTCTGTCGTTCCAGGTCCTGGTTGTCCCAAAGGTGTTTTTTTTCAGGAGGCAACGGGACTTTCTTGTTTTTCCTTTGAAGACGTTTCGCTTCTCATCCCAGAAGCTTCTTCAGCTCTGACTGGAAAGTGGGGAAGTGGCAGGATTTATATTCCGTGCAGACAGCTGGTCGTTTGCATCCTTTTAGAGAGTTGTTGAGGCCACTTGGAGGTTTATCTGCGTCCTCGGTCTCCTGAGTGGTGCAAATGGGTTTGGAGCCTTCTTGGGACTGCTGAAAGGAGGGTGTTGTCAGCAGTTCCAAGAAGACTCCACACCCACCTGCACCACTCAGGGGACCCTGAGGACACAGATAAACCTCTTCCCAGTGCTTTGATTAAATGTTTTACTTGCATATATAAATGGGCAGAATTTTGGTAAAGTTTCAGTGTCATTTATGTTTCAGTCTAAACCAGGGGTTTTCAAACTTGGCAACTTTTAAGACTTCAACTCCCAGAATTCCTGAGCCAACCAAAGAAAGAAAGCTAGAATAAGACTGAAAAGGCCAGGGGTTTTGATTTACACATGAGATTTAAAATTTAAAATAGAATATACCCAAATAGATAAAACATGTATTCTGAATATAAGATATTGTGACGAATATAAGATATTGTAACGACTTGAGATAAAGAAAACCTTGGTTATGTAAAGTTAAGAACTATAAATATTAACATAAGAATATTATATTGTTTTATTAATTTGTTAAGGTAGATGGTAAGAATCTATATATAAGGTGTATATCTCAAATGTTAGATTGTGTGAGGAATTGTGATAAAGGAATTGTGGCTAATTAAAACATCTGAAGTCCACAAGTCTTAAAAGCTGTCAGGCTTGGAGACCACCCCCCCCCTGATCTCAACTGCTTTGAAAATTTATTCTGTATACAATTTAGATTCTAGAGGGTGGCGAGAATCAGTACTCCGGAATGCAGATCGGACAACTGCAGGACGAAGAAGAAGAAGCGACAAGCGATCTACACAATGAGGACCTGGATCCTTTCCGAAATTCTTGCCTCGGTACGTCGATACTTAGTAGAAGCAAATAGCCAGATAGTCCTCGACTTAATGACTACGACAAGGTCCAAAGTTTCTGTTCTTAGGTGAAATATTTGTTAAGTGAGTTTTGCCCCATTTTAACCACAGTGGTTAATTGAATCACTGCAGTTGTTAAGTAACTTAAGTAACTTAACAACTGGCTTTCCCCCCCACCCCCTTGAATTTGCTTGTCAGAAGGTCGCAAAAGAGAATCACGTGACCCCCCCGGGACACTGCGACCGTTGTAAATGTGAATCCATGGCCAAGCGTCCGAATTTTGATCAAGTGACCGTGGGGGGTGATGCTGCAAAAGGTCGTAACTGAAAACAATCATAAGTCCCAATTTTTTCAGTGCCGTTGTAACTTGGAACTGACACTGAATGAACTGGTATAAGTCGAGAACTACCTGCGGTGTTAATTACATTA